AACCAAATAAATGTTATTTTTGGAATAAGGCGGCATTATCAACATAAATCAACACTGGTTAGCATAGATAACATGAAGTGCACTATATCTAATCCATGGTTTATAAATAATAGCAATAATATTATTTAATATATTAATTTTTCAAAAATACAGGCTACTTATGGATCAACAATTGTTATTATATTATATTAAATAAGTTTCATACATTTCAACGAAAATAACTATGCCGCAACGCTTTGCTGAAGAAGAATCTACATATTATTATTATTATTATTAACTTATAGTTTAGTCATAATATCCAATGATTTTGAGGGAATTGCCGTATTTTTTCAGCTAAAGTTATATTAATTTAAAGCAGGGCCTTCACTTTTATCATATCTTCGTAATTACTTTGGTTCAAGATCATTATAAATTAGTTTAAGGTTGGGACATTTGGGCACTTAAAATATAATATTTTTCTTAGCAAATAGTTGCGTCGATATCTATGCGCTCTTGGAGTAAATAATAATTTAGCGTTCTCCAAAATTTTCTTAAACATTCAAATTTATATATATATATATATATATATATATATATATATATATATATATATATATATATATATATATATATATATATATATATATATATATATATATATATATATATATATATATATATATATATATATATATATATATATATATATATATGACACTATATTCCGGGATATCATCCGTTCGCTCGTTGAACTCCGACTGGAATCCTGCATCCGACTGGAATCCTGCAAATCTTGCATCCGACTGGAATCCTGCAGACGTTTCGCCAAAATCTCACTTGGCATCTTCAATGCTCGCGCTCCGAAAACACTTCGAGTGTTCGAATATATATATATATATATATATATATATATATATATATATATATATATATATATATATATATATATATATATATATATATATATATATATATATATATATCTTTTCATGGAAGAAAATTCGGGTCCTTAAATAAAACAAATTTTGAAATAAAATATACTTAAAAAATAACACCGATTTCTTATCCACCACAAAATGAACTCGCACAACTATTGTAAAGTAAATAGAATGGAAGGTATTACTCACTATAATATTGACAAGATTAAAATTGCGTTTTGGGCAATATACACCTACCTACAAAGTTACATTTCATAAGTTTGTTGAGATAAATTTCCAAATAAATCTGTAAATATTTAGGAATACAAACATAATTTGTTTTAATAAAATATACAAATAAGAATACGACAAATGATGAGACTAACATATATGGCAAAATTTTTATTATAATAGGTACTTTATTTTGTTATTCAAGTAGTTCAAGTATTCAAAGAGTCTACGAGTCTCTGTAATTTGATTTTGTCTCCAATATTTTAGCATAGATCATTTATTTGATCTTCTGACAGAAATACTACAATATTCTAAAAAATTAGAAATGTCTGCCTCAGTTTGGTTATTTGAGTTTTGTTTGTTTTATTATATGCCTGTAAGGCAACGTAAGCTAGGTCCACTTTCAATTTTTTGTGTACGAAGAGTACTAGTAATTGAGTAGTTGAAAACTTGAAACTTTAAAACAAAATATTCAACTTACATAAAATTATTAAAAACCGGTAAACAAAATGAAGCATGACAACATAACACAACCTCAAAGTGAATTAATGCCGCTAGACTCGAATTGCAAATAATAATGTGAAAGCCCTTTTGGTATAGAAAAGCCGTAATGCTTCAAATAAAAATATTGAAAATCACCTTGCTATTCAAATTTTTAATTCATTACTATTTTTTAAGTTTAAACCCATACGAAATTGGCATAAAAATGTTGATTTCATTATGAGAAGGTGGAATTTTATTTCAAAAAACTCAAAAACTTGAATTGAAAATTGAAAAATTGTTGAGGTATTTTTTGTTCGTATTTATTATTTTTAAGTTATAAAATAAACTTATGCTTTTTATTGGAACGCCCTGTATATTTATTTTTAATTTTTGTGTTTATGCATGGATCGCACCGTTTCCACAGCATACAATTTCTTCACAATCCCTGGATTACTTTTAGATCCAATCCAGTCCAGTCAGTCCATCATTACAACAATCTATCCGAGTTGAGTTTAAGAGAATATAGAGTTGTAGACTGCTTTGTACCATAATTGACAAAAAGTGACAATACCAGTGTTTCCATTACGTTAAGGGGCGAGTCGACGCCTAGACTATTCGATTGCAGGCAGCCGTTATTAATGACGCAAATTAACGCTGGGACTTCGAATTAGATACAAACGCTTTGTAGTCAAGTCGTGAACCCAGTCCTTCTTATTGTTTGTCATTATAAGAAAATCAGTATTGCTTCTTTTTTTTGAGTAATATACCAAACCCGGTGCTTTTGGTAGGGGAATTAATTGTCTTCTGTTGCTGACTTCATGGTCAAATTAAGTCTATGTAATATAATCTATTACTTTACACTTTAATTTTACAAATGTCTTTGTTTGCGATTTGTTTTTCTCTAGTTGTAGGTGCTTCACAAATATTTCTTTCTTCTTATTTTTGCCAAATTCACGTATTTCCTTTATTATTATTTGATTGTTTAATTAACAATCCAAATTAACACGTAAATTAACGCTGGAACTTTGCATTAGATACAAACGCTTTATAGTCAAGTCAACTGCGTTGTTGAGAGCTCAATACCCCACAGTTGTGAAGTTTATTACAGTTGATAAGCAAAATTTTCAACGTAGAAGTGGTTTTAGAGTCATATTCCACGATCTGGCTAGACCGGGTTAAATGTGGAGGAAAGAATTTTAAATAATCTTGAAATCGGAAGGTTCATTTTTTCGTTAGAATTTGCATTATATCCTGTAAAAGGCTAGGGTAAATTTTTATCCACAACATTCGAGAATAAGCAACTATTTGAGAAATTGTATGGGACTAATGGGACATACGAAGTAGAAATACAAGTATTCACTCTGAAAGATTAGCTGTTTCAAAGGGTCAGAGAGACAGATTAAGACAATGACAAGAAAGAGGGCTGAATTGTAATGGTGTTCAGCCCGAAATAATTGCCATCATGATATCAACTTGAGAGTCAATTTCTCAATTGATAATCATTTAAATATTTCGCTAAGGACATATCTACGATGACTCTATTATCAATGTCAGCTTAAAGAATCCACTAAAAGGATAAAAGGAAAATAACAATAGCCTCCTAACAATTCTCATGGAAAATGACTTCTGTACAGGTAGCACAGTCTCAAAATTTTGGTTTAAAGTTTTCGCAGGCGCAACACAATTCTATGGTCAGTTTGAAAGATGAATGAAGAATCGTCAAAATTAGTTCTGTTAACTCAGATAAAACATCTTAAACAAATTTCTATGTTTCATTTTATCAGCTATCTCACTACTTTTGCATAAGATGTTTGACTTTTTAATTAAGATTCTTTCAAACCTGGAGATCTTTGAAATGTTTTATTTTCTCGATAACTAATATTAAACTTTTTTAATTGCGAATTTCTATAGAAAGAACATGTCAGTGACGATGTGCTTGTCGAAAAGTAATGATTAATAGAGTGCGATTTACGATGGCATAGTCGCTCATAAAACCAAGAGAAAAGGTGCTTCAGTATTTGAGCTCCTTCCGCACATATACTAAGAATGGCAAAACCTACCCATTTACCAGTCAGTGTTCTACCTTTGCCTATTACGCCCCGGGGTCGTACACTCGACAGAGATAGAACCAATTATCGGATAATTATAGTAGTTTCCACTACAAAACAGGATCTCATTTTTGAAAAACTGCTGCCAAATCTCGAAAGACCGTCTTTAATTATTATGGATAATGCATGATTGCATTCTAGACTTAGTGAAAGTGTACCAATTGCATCAACAAAAAAAGAAGAAATTATGAATTGACGGCGCAGTAAGCGGATTAATTACTCAGAGAATTGTCTAAAATAAGAGTTATTAAAAATTGTCAAAAATTACAAAACAAACTTGCCGTATGGTACAGACAAAATAATTGCTGAAATTGGTCACCAAGTTTTTAAATTGCGTCCTTTTAATAAAAATATTGTAAGGTAAGACATGATGATACTGCAGCAGTAGTATCTGTTTTGAATTCTTTTCAGACAGTTATCAAAGAAAATTGGATCAGTTGTATAACACATACAGAGAATACATTTAAAAAATACTGTGAAAAATAGAATACACTTGATATAACGGTACCACTACTTGTTATTAATATAGACGAATGATGATTTTCTGATAGTAGCCATTCCAGTTTGAGCTATGATGATAAAGATGATTATATTTAATAGTGACAAATTAATTATATTTTATACGGAATGATATATTTTTTAGTTTTCCTATTTTTTTAGTATTGTTGTAATTTTTATTGCATGGACAATAGTTTACTTCTTATAATAATTTTTTCATGTGTATTAAATATTCGCATATCATTAAGGAACCCCCTGGTCTACATGAACATGAGTATGATTGTACTAGTCAAATTAAAAAATGCTAAGTACAACTAAACCTGTTTCTCTTACTCTCACTTATTTACTAGATAGATATTTAGGACCACGCAACATCTGTTGAAGTATAAGTTGGAGCAAGATAAACAATCTATTTTATTCTATTTGGCATTTTATTGCCGACTATGCCATCGCAAATCGTACCGACTATGTAAAAGCCACAACCAACACCTCCACCACGTGGGCACCCGTTTCGAGCGAGCAGAACCTTATATTTTATTTAGTTTTTGTGAAAGAATCGATCAAGCCATTATTATTATGGGACTGTCCTATGCAACAGCCGTTCGCCTTTCAATTACATACACATATTAATTTTCATCCACAACAAAAACCAACCGGACCGTAAAATTATTATTTTTTGTCGGCTGTCGCTCTATTTTGCTTCGATACGACCGAGCTATATCGCAAATCTTAGAAAGGCAAACTACATTCTAATCATTACCTAATCGGGGTAAAATTTTCGCAGGCAACATGGACGACGAGACGGCATTCGTCGCGGTAACGCCGCCGCCACTACCGCTCAAAACCAAAGCGGCTCGTTCCGGAAACGCAAACGAAAAATTGACGCGGTCCATCAGCGGCTCATGTTCCCCACTTCAGGAATCGTCGTCTTCGTCTTCAACAACGGCCGCTAGGACAACGGTAAATCTAAATTCCGTTGACTTCCACATTCCTACGTCGTTTGAAGAGTTGAGTTCTCGCGGCACGAAGAACAAACCGCACGTAGTGAAGATCCTGATCAATCCGGACGAGACGAGATTGTTAAGGGACGACGAGGAGGAAGAATCGAGAAGGGTGGTGATCGGTGATGTGTCGCGTTCGCCCTGTATACGAATATCCGTAAACGCGAACAATAATCCAGAGTATACGAATCACGGGAACAATATGGTCGATGCGGTGGTAGGCAGGTCGAGCCCTTATTATTTTTTTAATCAGTTCAGTGGCGTGATGTCAAGCGGGCAGGTGAGCCCCAGCGACACTTTGGATTCGGGGACGTGCAGCGATTTGGACGGCACGCCGCCGCCCCTGCCGAAGAAAAAGGGCGGCTCCAGTGTTTCGGTTACGGTTATCGGTGAGTTTTTGCGGATTTGCGAGAAGTTTTTTCAGATGTGACAGATTTATCTTTCGGAGTAGTGGTTTCCAATACGCCTCGTTAGGTTCTGATAGATATCTGAAACGCCTTCTTTTTGTAAACCGGATTGAAGTTTCCTTCGTTAATGAACGAAAATCCTCTGCGCTGCAACCTCCGAAGAAGGGACAGCGCGCCTTTGGATATTTTTGAGTTCTCCTAGCTTAAGTAAACTATTGTACAGGGTAACAGGGAGTCAACGAGTCAAGGAACTCTACCATGAACTCCTACGATATTGCAGAATGATTCACCTTAACTTCTTCGAGAAGTTGATAATATTGAGATCCAAGAAATATAGTTACAACGAAATGGATTTCCTCCGCATTAATTTGTAAATAATGATTACATACAGAAATGCATCGGCTGAGGAGGATTCGTTGGATGGTCCTGTCCATCATGTGACATAACACCACTAGATTTCTTATAGTGGGGATATGTTAAAGATCGTGTTTATATGAATCCCCCTACAACACCACAAGATATGAAAACTAGGATTCGGGGCGCGTACAGGAGAATAACACCGTTTATGCTAAGGAACGTCCAAAAAATATACGAAAAAGACTAAACATGTGTATATAAGTACATATTTTTTAACATTTATGGCACCATAATAATGATTATACATACGACAAGTTAATTTGTATTATTAGGTATTTAATATTATTTACTTTTTCTGGGAATTTAAAATTTGGTGGTTATTTTTACCAAATGCCTAACTAATATTATAGCAATGGTCTGAGACAGAAAGAAGGGTAAATATTGTAAAAAAAAATATACGAAAAAGACTAAACATGTGTATATAAATACATATTTTTTAACATTTATGGCACCATAATAATGATTATAAATACGACAAGTTAATTTGTATTATTAGGTATTTAATATTATTTACTTTTTCTGGGAATTTAAAATTTGGTGGTTATTTTTACCAAATGCCTAACCAATATTATAGCAATGGTCTGAGACAGAAAGAAGGGTAAATATTGCAAAAGTTAAAATAAATTGCAAAGTATTAAAAATATGACGTACTTAACGAAAGGTGCAGGTTTTTATAAGATCTAAGATATATAAGATAATATATATGGTGTGCCATTTAAGAAAATTGAGATTTTTCAATTTAAAATGATCCAAATATATTTGTTTATTTTGAACACCCTGTAGCATCTAATTAAAATTCTAAAATATTTTTGTCATCTTCAAATAACGCCAAATATGAGTGATCCACTTTCAAAAATAATGGCGCTCTCGTAATTATTTTGCAACTTTGAAAATTTTTCCAAAAAAAATTAAGGTTGCGCAGATTCTTCCGATCTACAAAACCGGCAACAGAAGCAAAAGTAATATGGCGAATTCCAATCCAATTTCTCTAATACATCAATATGGAAAAGTTTTTGTTGGAGTTATCGTTCTTTGAAATGAAGAATAACAGCAACCAACATGGTTTCTATAAGGGTCGGACTATTCTGACCAATTTTATACCTTTCGTTCGGGGAACCTATGAGGCAATGGCAATGCTTGCTTATACCGACTTGTCCAATGTTCATCACCCCACGTTGGCTGTTAAACTTGGAAATTTCAGTCTAAAGAACCGCCTTTTATTTATTTATTTTTTTTGCAAGATGCCGTTAATAGAATGGGAAGGGCTTGCTTGGATGTGACTTCTGGGTTCCGCCTGGTTCACACTTGTGCGGCTTGTTCTTGTTTATAATTTTCTAAACTCTCACAGTGCATATTCATTGTACACTGGTGACCTGAAAATGTCTACTATCGAATTTTATAATTATTCTTGTCACGTTGCTTAATAATAGCTCTACTCCAAACAGTGTGGTCTGTAACCGTGATAGATAAATTAATAAATATTGTTTTACTCGCTATCTCACTGTTTTTGCATAGTATTTTTGATTTTCTTAATATGTTTTTGTTTTCCTATTTTGCCGGCATTTCCAAAATCCGGGCTAATATCGATGTTTTGAAAGTATTTAATTTTTTTTTTTCAAAATTTAAGATTTATTAAATATTTCATTTTTACATACATACATAGTCCCTGTAACGATGATCCCCATCAGGAAAACTGCTTTGCCCTATTCATTTTTTTTTTGGTTTTGTATATATTTGTATTAGACTGATGCACTGAATTTGACTGGTGTTCAAAATCAGTTCTTAGTGCGCGATATAATGGAAACCAAATTGACAAACAACATTGATTTCTTAAAATCAAATCAACGGAAATTTTAGTATTATTGCAAAGAGCACAACTATAATGCATAAAACAGATTGCCATGTTTTCTTTTGGCATCCGTTTGAGAGGGTTATTAATAAAATGGTGTCTTTATTATACTGAATAATGTCTACATATTATGAAGTGATGATGTTCAATACGTATGAAGAATTGTTTTTCAGATGTGATGGCGTATTTATCATTCAGCCCGAATACCGTGTGATGGTTTATATTCCACACTCATCTCGGTGAGTTCTGTTTGATCTCTCAAAAATTAGAGTTTTATCAGGTGATTTTCATTTAATTATATTATTATGGTATCTTACCACCTATACAGGATAGCTCAATCTTGCAGGATACTTTATATCTCCATAAGACTCACAGTATGTTTTAGAGAGAGTTCTTTAAGGTTTCCGTTTCCCAACAGTTTCTTAGATATCATCGAAGCTGTAAAGGTTTGTTTTTTCACACCCTGTATAATATTTCACAATTTATTGATGAGTTAGAAAAAAATGTTGATGTTTAGAGTCATTTATTAGTTTATGACAGCTGTTTCGGTAAAACCCTGTTTTTATCAAGTACAAATCCAATTAGTCATTAAGTAATAGATTCGAATATCTCATTTTGTTGATCTCCAAAGCTTCCAATAAATTTAGTTATTTGCCGGTGATCTGGATGGCCAGTTTCAAAGTTCCTTAATTTCTTTGACGTAAATAAAACCAGAAGCAAATCTTGTTTCTGGTTTTATTTATTTATGGTATGTTCTGGTTACTATTCAAAGTGAATTCAATGTTCATTTTGGCATACTCAAAATCAATGCTAACTAAAAGGAAGGTTGCTGTTTTATTAATTTTCGATAGGAATATGTATGTAAAATTAAATTTTGTATCACACAACAATATACAGGATGTCGAAGCGAATCAATTCCCAATGCCAGTATCGAAAGGATAATTGTCATATTTCCGTTTATCATTCAGGTGACTACCAGGTGTGACAGATATTACATTTTCCAAATTTTTAATATTAATGAATATGTCTAAGAAACTATTGAGCTTAAGTAAAGAAAGTAATATGATATATTAAAGAAACCTACCATAAAATTTCCTCATAGATCCAAAGAAGTTTTATACGGGATGTTCCATTTAAAATAAGGAAATGAGATGCTGTGAAATACTTATGAGAAACCTGTCTAATAGCAAAAAACCTTTGTATTTAAAATTTCTCTCATTTGTTCAATTTGTTGAGGTGCATTCATTCATCAACTTCGTATTTATAACTAAGTTTTCCTTGATATTCTATTTTCCCTGCGAATTTAAATCCAACATTTGAAAGTGCATGTGTTTTTTTGGTGTTTCGGAGTCAAATATATATTCATTGATGATTTGCAAATTCAAGTATTGATAAGAAACTTTTCAAAACATTTATTCAAATATCCAACAATACGATTTAAGGTCCGAATTAATTTTAAAGGGAAATACATTATTGCACTTATATGTTTGCATATGTTTTAAGAGTCTTATTTTTATAGCATATTTTAAATTAATTTTCAGTAGTGTTTAGGAGTCTTATTTTCAACTTTGATATATCATTCAACACAGGTTGCAGTTTTTAGCATCATAGCAAAAATATGATCTTAAGTTTGCGAAAAATATGTTATTATACACGGAGCAACAAGGATTACTATAAATCATACATTAAAAATATACAGGTTGTTGTGTGTGCGAAAACGATGAAAATACAAAATTCAGAATGTCTCTCTTACTTTACCCTTTTAACGCTTTAAATTTCCCAATATGCATTTTTATGTGGAACGATAATAAAGTTTAACGACTATTTACAAAAGTTTAAATATAACCCAGTAACAAGATAAATGAAGATAAGACATCAGCAGATATTGATTCTTCTCTATTCAACCGCCTAACACATAGAGCAAGAAATAAAAACCAGATTCAATGAGGTGGCTTACCAGTTTGATTTTTATTTACTTAATCTGGACCAACGTGAATTTTACTAGTGCTAAAATGACTAAAATGTCGACTAAAAAACGTTAACAAAGAAACCTATTTAAAATAGAAACTTTGACGCACTGTATCTTGAAAACAACACTTTTTTGAACACATGTTATATTCAATTTGAAATTGTCCAGCAATATGCTCCTACATTTTAGTTCATATTTTATGCCAGCGATATTGTTATAAGTACTTTATTTACTAGTTTCTGATACTGGACCCATGAACTCTAAAATTTATGTTATCCTTAATCAAAACCGATGGCTGCAAAATGCAGTAAAATGAACAAAAATATAACCAAGCGAAGCGAACTATCCATTTTACAAAAAAGTGTCCGGGTCATTGCCCTTTTTAAAAATTTCGTAAAAACGTGCATAAATTACCCATTTCAATCAATTAGCCATATGCTTTGCTAAAAAGATGTTAATTCGATCGCTATGTTATCGTCGTTCGCTAACGATAGAATTATTTTTGTCAGCGAAGGGGAACCAAAGTTGAGCCGAGACTTCGAAAGTAGTAAACTTTAAGATAAAATAAATTTAACGAAGACAAATTTTGAACATGAAAACTTTCATATCTTTAATAGCTTGTGTGGCGGGGCTACAAACTTGCCGTTCCATCACGAAATCTAAGCATTGGAATCGAAATTAGGTATAACATTGCGTCTGAAGCTCCAGACTTTATTTTCTTCTTTGATTGGTTAGTTCCCTTTGATG